GGGTGGGTGGTTGGTTGGTTGGTTGAAGAAGATATTCTTCTGGCTCCAGAAGATAGCTAGTTTGGAAGAAAATGAGAGGCGAAGGGAAGGCGGAAGAGAGCACCATAATAGGATCTTTGGCAGCCAACAGCTGCCCAAGTTCTCCTGAAACAGAAACAATCAGGTCTCAGTCTTAAAGCCTCTTCTGAAAACTATCCCTCTAAGTGGTATCATCAGGCTGCAGCAAGCTGCCATGGACAGCCAACATGATCTTTCAGAAAGGAAACTCCCAGACCAAAAAAGCCACCAGGACATTTGGCAGCTTGACCTGTCTGAATAATAGATCTGCACATTTCACTAGAGGTTGGCTACAGTAGTTGTTCTGTCACTAAAAGAACTTCCAGAAAGTCAGAAAAACAAACGTTTTAAAATGTACATCTTCATCCCATTACTCCAGAGTCAGAAGCTGGTTAACTAAATGTCGTGATTGTGCTGCATATTTAAGATGATAATTTTTCAATGCCCAGTGTTTTCGTCTTCTAGATTTGAGTTTCCTGGTCACCCAAAAGTTATCATTTATGTTTGAGTAGAGGGTCTCCCTAGCCACCAAACTTTGCAGACAGACAGCATCCCGCAGTTGATTAAACAGTCTGGCAGGAGGAGGACAAAGCCACAGCAAACAGTCATGGACAGTTTCGTAAGAGTTCTTGGGACTATATTATCCTATCATCAGTCTGGCTAGAAACCCAGTCTCTGAAGATGTATTTTTGATTAAAAATAGTACTTGCAATTCACAGCCTTTAAACTCGTGAGCAGTACTGGATTTACCATCATGACTCATTTGTTATCTCATTCTTTCCAACTCTGCCTCGAGAACATTGCACTAGGTTCTGGCACCATTATTGACAAATTGAGGATAATTTAAAGGAGAGCATCACCAGTTGTGACAAGAGCTGGGTTTTAGGAGAGGCGTTAAAAAGCTTCGTAAGCTATTGCTAGCAAAAGGAATGTTTTACATAATGAACATTTTTCTCAGTAGGATTATGGTACCCCTTGCATATATAGATCAATATGTCCTAAAAAACAAGGGTTATTCTTCAGCTGTAGGGAAGTGTGAAAGTTTGCAGAGGAGAAAGAGTAAGGTTAAAATTTGCTTGCTGAAAAATTCCCTTTTTTTTTTTTAACTTGGAGTTATTCCCATAGCTATTGTAATTCCAAAGAATACTCTGAACATATGATAAAAGTATAACCACTTCAGGGATTCAACGGATGTGGAGGTAGCCTGAAACAGTAATGTGTGTTCCCTGTTCATGGACTTTTGAAGACCACATGCAAGCAGATATTTGATAGCTATTGGTATGGTAGATGATAAGTAATTTATTTGATAACACAAGATAAAGAGAAAAAATAGTGGTTTATTCATAAATGGAGTTGTTCTGATACTCACAGGTTACGCTGTGGAAGAATCTAACAGATAAGATGAAAGTCTCGTCAATTTTGTCCACCAGATTTAACAAAATATTAAAAATATGTTGTAAGGAACTATGTCTTGCTGTGATTCGAGGCAGGCTGGATGTTCTCTGGGTTCTGCTGTGCTCCGAGTTAAATTTGCATCCGCATTTGTGGATGTGACGGGCCTGCCTGAAATCATAGTACACAGGCACCTGGCAAAGTTGACTTGACAAAAGATAAATATTTGAGTTACTTGAGGAGCCATGGGAGGGACGTCTGACATAGAGGGAGGTTTGTATCTATCTCAGGGTGAAAAATAAAGAAGCGAAAGGTGGTTACTTGTCCAATGATCCTGCATATGCCTTGTAAGAACGAAGAATTGTCCTCATCAGTAATGCCAGTCAGCTGTCTCATTTCCAGCCGTGGCAACTAAAACACACTGAGGAAAGGTATATTGGAAAGAAGGCCGATACGGTCACTGTTTCGGGGCATTCTGGATGGAACCAATGAGAAATGGCTTAATAGCCACTAATGTGCCTGCTCATTGTGGATGAGTCCAGTTCATTGTATCTATTTCAGATACCAGGTTTCAAAATGTGCTTCAAGTTCTCGACTTTGGGAGTTTTTTTATAATTACTTGTAATGACCTTCCGAACTACATATTTGGTGGACACATACCTGTGATGTATGCATAAGTAAATGCACACACACACTTTTCAGCCTTTTTTACAAAAACAAACAAATAATCGTTGTCTACAACACCCTCCATTGTCTCTGATCAACTTGTTTGTACTGCTCTTGGTTTCTCCTACTGTATTTATACTTCTATTACTTACCTTATTCTTCCAGTTTCCTCTGCAATTTACTGCAATTCTCTTTCTAGCCGCGATTATTTAGACAAAAGAGAAGAACTAAGACAAGCAAGAGAAGAAAGGTTTGTATATAAGGCATCCACCCTTCCTTTTGATAGTTTGCGCTTCCTATATTCTTCATTGTGGAGCTGTCACGTATTTACATTTTTAACTTTGCATGCACAGAACACTTTTATTCCAAAAGACTTCTATAAGAAAGAGATTGTTTCATTAAAGAAGAGAATCAAGTCCAGCTGTAAGCACAGCAATAAATGCAGAGCAGTGGGACTGGAATGCAGAAGAATGATTGATGATCTATCTTTTATCTATTTGTATGGGAAATAAGCTTAGTCCATTTGACTCAGAAATTTGCCCAAATTTGGTATGGTTATAAATTGAATAAGCCTGTCTTTCTCACCCAGTGGGTCCCAAGCTTTCTGGAGGGTCAGAAAAGGCAACTGAGGATAAAGGAAATTGGGGTCACAAGCATTGCAAAACTGCAGTCGCAGGCTGATGGAAACGGTTCTGACCCACTCCCAGCGTATTTTTGTCTTTCAAGGCCAAGTCTTTGCGAATCTCTCTGAACATCAGCGAGTAAATTACAAAGCTTAGCAATGTTTATCATTGTTTTAGTTTTGTTTAAACAGTGTATTTAAAGGGACTGAGGGTTTGAAGTTTTTTTCCTTTTTTTAATTCAGTTAAATAGTTTAGAAACTCTGGGCTAGGCTGGGAGCTATGTGCTTATGAAAGCACATTTTTCAAGGAGTACTTGACTAAAGACCTTTGCCCTTCAGTAGCTTCATCTCTACCTCCGCTAGTAATTCAACCCTGGAGGGAGCTCTTGTTTTTACCTGGAAAATAGGCACGTTACTGAACAAATAGTAGATGAAAAATCATCCAGATTTCTTCACTTCTGCTTTTATGGTCCTCTAGAGGTTACTCTCTGGAGATACTTTTGAATTGTCAAGAATTGGAATTACATTATCAAAGTATGAGAGCAGCCATCTCAGAAATCATTGTGTTGCTGCAGTTTGGTTTGGTTTGGTTTGTTTTTTTTCACAAAATCATCATGCAAAAGGCAGTTCATTTCTCCAGACTGAAGTCTGATCTATTGTAGCTGAGGTAGCTAATATTAAAACAAGGTTTTGACATCTCTAAGAGTAAAAAAAGGTGGATAGGCTTTCCTTTGACCTTCCAGCCAAAACAATTACAAATAGTTTAAAGCATTTTCTGAAATGAAAAGCATCTGAGCACATAAGCATCATACACTGATCTTAGTTGAGTAAAACCTTTTGCAGCAAGCGTGCTCGTCAGCAAGATTTGAAACAAATTAGAAGCGAGCTCTCCGGCACTTTCAAGTTGTAAGGGAACATGCCAAGTGAACTGCAGTATTTTTGGGGAAGTGTTCACCAGCAGGGCATCGCTGCTGTGCAATCTGAGACAGTTTCACTGGTCATTAGGAATGTGTCTTTATCCTTAGGGCTCTTTTGAACTGAAATGTTAAACCATCAGTTCTTCCTCATAAAGAGGAAAGACACATGTTTGCTTTGACAGCACATAAATATTGGAGAAAACTTCTGCAAGTGTTACACCCGTAGTCCATTACATTGGCCTTCTGTAACAATTTTTTTTAACAAACACCTTTGCACAAATGAAGTTTCATTTCCTATAGCAAGTGGCATTTGACTTGTTTTAAGACAACGCGTGGACTGTAAGAAAATGCAATAGTCAAGGTGATAAAATCCTAGTTAAAATCTGCATTGTACATTTCCTCCGTATCAGTTTGGAAAAGTAAAAGGAGATAATCTTGAGCACATAGGAAAGACTGTTAAAAACCCTGATTTGTCTAAATTCTGTCAACTCTTTGGAGCATTCTGTGTACATTGCTTTAGCCTGGAGCTCCAGAATGTAAGCACCCACTTTTTCAGTGGCTGTGGAGTGGCCTCGGTGTGAGGGAAGAAGATTCCTACAGTTTCAAGGAGTTTGAGTGCAACTCAGCACCATTCATTTTACGTGTTCTTGCTGTTCAAGGATTTGAGGCCTTTTTTACTTTGCTTGCTTGGTAATTTAAAAATAAACCTCAGAAAGGTGAGCTCCCAAGCCCTCTCTATTGTGATTTACAGCTCAAATGCTCTCCACCCCATCATGTTGTTGATACATAAACATTTTAAGTCGTCCTCAGGGCATTGCTTAGAGACCTAGAGAACTCGCAATGATATTTTCATCTACTTGAAGATGATAAGTGGAATGTCATGTTCCTGAGGTATACCAAATGGATAGCCCACAGACTTTTGGCTCTTTGTCTGCAGAGTCAGCCATAGGCATGATGATTTCTGCAGGTTTCAATGATTTAAAGGAATATGGCAGTACATACAGAGGCAAGGTGTCGATCCTGTAGTGGAGGAACTAGTTGCAGCAGAGGGATGGTAGCTCATCTTTTCCACTCCTTCAGATTTTGATCTTCATGAGACCTTGTGTATTTGATGCTGACATTCATTCATTGTTAAGACATTGGGCAGAAACGAAAAATAACCTAAATAAATGTCATTTATCAAGTGTGAAGTGTTTACAACTAATTCTTGAATGATTTTTATTTCTCAGTTAAATTGTTATATCTGCTTATTAGGCTTCCCATTTGATAACAAGTTATGCTAATGTGCTGCCATGTTGCTGTTCTGGTTTGCTTTTTTCTTTCAGTATAATGAACCGATACGTTTTGAGAAGGCACATCTTGATGATAGTCCTCTGCTATTGCTGATTCACTGTGCAGCGCAGAGCTACAGAAGCTAAAATGTCAAAGCAGCTGAAAAAGAGCTGAGGGCAATAAAACAGTGTAGCTCCCCCTGTTAGAGAAGGGTCCATCCAGATCTTTGTTGCAGTCTGTTGGCAAACTGCAAAACTCTCCGTGGCAGCAGCCAGCTGGGCTCTACCTGTTTGAGCTAAGTGATAGTTTGAATGGCTCTTCATGAGTCTGAAGTCCCATCTGCTCTAGTTGTGAGGAAGCAGAAGGCATAATACGTAAGCAACCAAAGTTAAAAGAAAGTCTGGCTTCATGAACTGTAACAAAACATCATGCTAATGCCAGCGAAAGGCTTTCTCCTCTATTGAAAAGGCAAAAATCATTCTCGAGAATTGGCTTCATGTTAGAACTGTAAACAGTTCCTATTTTATAACCATACAAGTATGTGGCTTGTTATATTTTCATCCAGAGTCTGTAGGGGTTCGTTTTCTTGCAGAATTTATTCAAAGCCTGTGCATACCTCTGGAGGAATAAAAGAAAATGAGTTTGTTCTTCATTATTGCTGTTTGCAATAAAGCAAATTGCCTCTGAAAACACAAGGACTGCACTTCAGAGACACATTTCTGTGCTCTATATGGATGTTTGCAAATGTGCATGCGTGTGTGGCTACCGTATGTACTGAGCATGTTTGTCACTGCATATGGCTGACTTTTTTACCCTGCCTGCTTTTAATGCACCCTCATACACTAATTCAGGCTGTCAGTGAGGCAGGAGAGGGGAGGAGAGGTGTTCCCTGTTACGGAGTGTTTACAACGGTGGGTTATAGGAGGATGACCACAGTGTTTCAGGGACTTAAGCGGTAGTGTTGATTAACCTGTTTAGCAGTTCACTTGTGGGTAAGTCAGTCTAAAGCCCGATCCAGCTGTATTCATGAATTTATTCCTTAGCAAATAATGGTGGATAAAATTAGCAGACATCTGGAAGAGGCACGTATTTCAAAGTTATTTTGGTCGAAATGTATAAAGCACACTATGAAGAATATGATTGGTAGCTGGTCTTAATAAACAGTTAGTGAGTTCTGCCTGCCTAAAATGCAAAACAGATGTATCTTTGTTCTTTTAAAGTGACTTTGATGAATAAACTACATGTGACGTCAGGTCCAAGCTATTGGATGTCTGAGTCCGGCAGAGAAATTTTTTAGAATAAAAAAAAGAAAACTTTCCATTGTAGACTCTGGAGAGAACAAAGTGGATTCCAGTGCATTGCTCTCAGAGCAAATAGAAGCAGGTTCAGAGACTTTAGATAGTCAATCCAAACATTTATTATTGGTATTATTTTCAGGGAGATCTGTTTTTGTCTGCTGCACTGAACCATTTTCCTCTCCTTGCAGCAAGTCTCAGACTTTGACTATTTGCATCAGTATTAAGGGGCTCTGGCTTTGGAGGGGTTTTTTTTCTTCTTTGTTTTTTTTTTTCTTTCCCCTCTCGTTTTAGTTTTGGGAGAGAGAGGGCTGGGAGAAGGAGGAGGGTGAAAAGGAGGACAGACAAATGCTTCCAAAAGGAGAAGGACTATGCAGACACAATACTATGTCTAAAGACTCTTTAACTCTGCTGAGTTTTGCTTTTGTTTTGTCATGAGCAATTTAACATTTTTCAGGGCAATAGTCTTTGCTTTGGTGCACGTTTTTTGGCAGATTGAGCAGGCAGGCAGTTTAGTGCTGTACCCCTCGTGTCAGGAAATCAGCTCATTCTCTGCAGGTGTTTCATCCATAAACAAGCATCAGCCACAGACTTCTTTTTCTTTACGGAAACCCTCTGGAATTTAACTTTCAGATACAAATACTTGGAGAGGTTGGCAGCGGAGGAGTATGAGAAGGAGCTGAAGAGTCGGATCGTGAGCCGAGGCAGAAGTGAGCTGTCCTTGAACCTGAGATCTCCTTCAGCCCCATCCTCACCTGTACCCAAGTGTGTCAGCCCAGCGTCCATAGAGTCCCAGGAAGAGCTGAAGACCCCTTCCACCCCTTGTGGGACCCCTCAGCCCTCAGAAGGTAAGTGAAAAGGAGGTCAGGGGAAAGAGCGGTGATTTTATTACCATTTCTCTCAGGCTAGCAGTGATTTTTGATGCATGAGTGCAAGAATATAACCTCTGAGGTGCCGAAGTAGTAAAGGGTCGTCTTATATTGTTTCATGCTCTCTTCCTAATTTTCTTCTTTTTTTGCATAGATTTGGATGTCTTCTACTCTACTCAAGCAAAGAATACAGTGCTAATTGTTGCTATGATTTATGTTATCATTGTCTGTTGCTATTAGAATGGAATAATTGGAAAATACCGCATGCAGGGGGTCTTAATTTTAGCATCATGTCCCTTGGATATTAGAAGTTACTGAATATGAAACCAACAATATTCCTGCCAACAGATTTTGCTTATGTGGATTCTCTGAACAAAATTCAACAGATGAATGCCAAGATTATAATAACCTTCCAGCAGAGCACAGGCTGCATGGGACAAACAGAAAAGGTCTTGAACTGAAGGCAGGGAGGGTGCATTGGTTATTTTTAACACCAACAAAAACTCTTAAAATTGTAGCACAAGTAGTAAAGGACTTAAAAGAGACCACGGATAATTAGTAAAAAGGAAAGTATAATTAGTGTTTGCACGGTTGATTTGTTGTCATATAATTTATTGGTGTACAGAGCAATATTTTTTGTGTGCCAATTGCATCATGTACCCCTCCTCCAGTCTTCAAAAAAACACCCACCATACAGATTTATATTTGTGCCACTATGATGTTGCATTAACATTGGGAGCTAGAATGCATGTAGAGGGTGAATTATCGCTGTCATTCATTTTTATTTTATTTTATTTCCTGCTATGTGTCGTTGGTGATTAATGCGTTTGTAACTTGCACTGCTTGGTTTTATTGAGTGTTATGGCTGGTAGCATGCTATAAAGCAAGGCAATTTAAGAAAAAAGTTACAAATACTGAATGTTGCATATGTTATCCTCACCGTACTAAGTAGGTGAAGTTTATTTAATTCAGGTTTATATATTTTCCCAATTATTTTCCAAGTTTTCTTGTCTGGCACCTTAAAATTCTCAGTGGACTCATTTCAACTTAAAAAACAAGGATATTTTCCTGTAACACTGATATTCAGAAACATCCAGATGCCCATTTTTTTTTTGAGTGCAATATTGCTTTTAGAGCAAATAAGTTGGATTTTTCCATCATTAGGATTTCAGAGCTGGGTAGGGAGCAAGTATCTCTTTTATGATGATTATTTTAACATATTTCTTCTCGAAGCATTCAAAAAAAATTGCAGCATGAAATGAAGCAGCACAGTCCATTTGGAGAATACATTTAGAGCAGGTGTACAGGGCAACTTCAGGCAGCCAGAATATGGCAAAACTATCGACACGTGGGTAGGCAGGACATCTCTACTAAAACTCCTGGCAATATCAGTAAGCATCAGAGGGCAGCACCTGGAAGCCTGGCAAATGGACTACAAGGAGAGAATATATGCATGGGGCAGGGTAAGCCTTCAGCCAAGGGCAGCTGCAGGCAGATGGCCAGGACAGCACCAGAACAGGGGCCTGAAATCTGCATACTTAAGCAGGAGCTGTGCGTGTGGAAGGACTGCTGTTTCAGGCCTACCAAGAGCATTGGAAAGTCATACGAAGTAATGAGCATGTGGGCAGGGCAGGCTCTCTCATCTGGAGGTGGCCAGATTATTGGATATCAGCCAGCATCTGGCAGGCTTATTTATAGATTTTTGTGCCATGGCCTCTAGACTATTGAGTTCCTTTTGCTCCGTAATGAATTAAAATCTCAACTCTTAGTGTACTTAGGAAATGTTCTGAATCACACTTCACAGATAGAGAAACTGAGGCATTAACTTGCTTAAGCCAGTTGTAGGAAAAACTGAAATAGAGCCATGGACAGAACTCGGATTACTTGCACCTCAAACAGTTGCTTTGAACATGGGCATCACCATCTTCTCAGGCAAGGATGAAACTACAGAAGGAAAACACTTCCTCAGTTCTGTGCGTAGGACCCTCCAAAGACTCTGCAAAGAGCAGTGTTAACGACTGTGTGATACTCACCTGCAGAATACAGAACCTCAAGTCAAATGGGAAGTGTGTTCCTCTACTAACAAAACAATAAGTGATTTTTGGAGTCAAACTTATTTTATGCCGTTTGTGCTGAAGTATCCTTTGGCTATCCAGTATCTATTGGTCTTAAGAAGGAAATGGATTTTGTCTGTGGAACTTTGTCCCACGCTGTGAAGCATCTTAGTATCGTTACCCAATATAAAAATCTGGACTTACTGAGCTGAAGTGTTTTCTCTTATAAAACAATTGGTTTCACTAAAGTAATCAAGTATTGTAAAACTTATTCTTGTAAAACTTGGGGTATGGCATTCAGAGGAAATGCAGGCAGTCCCATAACTGCAAAATGGAACTTAATAATTTTTTTCAGAGCAACTGCTTCATCTTTTGTAATTTAATTGAGAATATTTTATGGAGTGCACACGTGCCGTAAAGGAGGGCAACAATAACCAAGACATCTCTGAAGTCAGTCCGCAAAGGAATTAGAGATGAACCCTTCTATGAGAGAAGCAGCTTTTTCAGCACTCGAGGAAGTAAGCAAGCCAACCCAAGTGTACATTGTGGACAGTAGGAAACCTTATGAACATATTAGTAGCGAGCAAAGTTCAAATACTGCCTAAAGTATGACCAGTGAAAGCACTTCGGCAGATGGAAAAGCACCAGAGCATGAGGGCACAGTGAGGCCGTTGCAGCCCCGGTTGTAGAGCCAAAGGAACCACGGTACAGAAAGTCAGAGAAGAAACTGGGGTGGAGGACAAAGAAAGGTCATTTCTGATGTGATGAAGAAAGAGCCAGTTCCCTACTGGTGATCACTCTGTGCTAGTTTGTACCATCACAAGGAAAGGGAAGAAAAGATTGGAGTAGGCGTGGAGAAAGAGAGTCCCTGATGAATTCACAGCAAGAGGAGTCTTGTGCTGAAGGAACTGAAGGGACATAAAAACTAAGACTTTGAGCAATGCTCAAACAATTGAACCAAGAGGGCTTGGGTAGGTATAGCCATCTTCAGGCTTACTGTATGCATCCTCAAGAGACACTTAGGGTATGCGTCTCCTAGCTCCAAGTAGAGAGCAGAGGAAATAGATGAAGATGTGGTTGCCTAATCTGTTACCCTAACAGGGGATTGGTTGTGAGCCCAGAGGGGTGTTTGTTCTCCCTGAGGGCTTATAAGACTGAGGGGTTGGGGTCTCATCAGCAAGTACTAAAGATACAACATTACATCTGCTTCAGAGTTTGTTTGTAGTTGAGTATCCAAAGAAAAGTCATTTCCCTCCATGTCCCTGTGTAGCATTATAAGTTTGTAGCCATGTTTTTCAGAAGGAAGCAGCTTGCTGTCCTCTCTAACCTCTCACTCAAAGGAGGGCTGTCGCCAACATCTGATCACATTGTAGCAGATCAGGGTGCTAGGGCGTTACAAGACCAGGTATTGAAAATGTCAGAAGATGCAGATTACACCATCTCTCAAAACAACAAAGTCGTTTCACATTCCTTGAGGAACCCTGCTACCTGCTTTTAGTGATGAGGTTGCACAGCTTCTTTCGGAGGTTTCATTCTTCTGAGAAGTCTTCATATTGTTTTCCATTAATAGATTTTTAGAGGTTAAGTTCTGGCAGAAAAAGAAGTGAGCATATGACTCAAAAATTAGTTCTTAAAGCCACATTCAGTTTCCCTCTTCCTGATTAATCCAATCACAAGTAAAACTTCCTCTCATTTAAAGGCCTCAACTCACTCATTTGTTTTAATGGGGGGGAGGAGTGGTGAGGAAAGTTAAGCCTTAAGAGAAGTGTGAAAAATAGCATATGCAAGTGAAAAGAGATTATTTCTGCTACTGAATCTGGCAATACCATTTTATGTTTTAAGAACTGTATATGTTTAAGAATTGGGTTTTGAAAAAAAATAAATCTGTGCTTATAATGACATCACCCTTCTTAATGTCTCAGGAATGTCGTCTTTACGGGTGATGCTTTTTGATATGACCATGCTTGCTTCCCTGAGTCTTTGTGCTCTCCACCAGCAGAAGCCTAAAGACAGGAGGCAGAGCCTGGTCTGTTAGTTAACTCTATTGCCACCTGCAAGATTGCCACTTAGAGTAGTGTTTTGTCTGGTGTGAAAATGGATCCAGTAGCTACAGGACTGCAAGTTCCAGCTCCTTTCAAATAGGCCACCACCAAGCATTCACTGAGAATGTGTTTTTTAAGATCTTTAGAAGTTCTCACCAATGTCAGCACAATGGATTACAAGATGGAACTGCAAGTGACGGACACAACGTCTAGCTTGCTAGCTTTGTTCTCCTGTTAGTGTTTGCTGTCAGATTTCTTTTTTGAACTGCTTTTTAAGGGAAGGGCTACTGGTCTTATCTCACTATAAGTTATTTGGGTTATAGGTGCATTGTTTGATGTTACCCCTAAAGAGAGAGAGAGTGTCAAAATGACTGTCAGCATATCCTTGTTTTGTTCTAGAAGTGCTTAGATTTTGATACTCCCTGAACTCAAAAGAGCAGCCTGTGTCAGTATATTGCTCTTTACTCTCTGTTATATATTAGATTCTGCTAAGATACAGCATCTTTCTGGTGAATGTGTGGAATACTCCTTGCTTGAAGAGTATCCAGAATTCTTTTGAACATTCTCATTTTCTCAAGCATTTCTTATGTCTCCCCTGACTTTATCCTATTGAATCTTCAGTGTAGCTTCATGATGACAAAGGTGACATAAGCAGTAGCAGTCCTGGCCACGTTTTAGTCAGCTTCCTTCTCCACCTGAGCTGTTGGAGTTGACCTTTTTGATTATTGCATGATAGCTTTTGTTTTTAGAGAGAAACATCTAAAATTCATCCTTCATTCTTCAAGGATGAATTGCTGACATTTGTATATATCGACCATTGCAGTGTGGCAAGCTCAAGGTCCTTCATGCTACAGTACCATGTTAATTCCGGGAACTCCTGAAGTATCCCTAAGCTTCCATCTCAGTTATATTCAAATCTTAACTTGACTTCAAAATTCTCTTGTGCTGTACCTACACACTGACAGCTGTGATCAGAAACATACCACTGGGATTCAGAGCCTCTGCCAACTTCTTGCCAGCTCTCTATAATTTTGATTCTCTCGTAGGCAGTGTCCAGGCTACAGTCATAGGTGAGGTACATTTAGAGAGACAAGACATGTGCAGAGCTGCTCACTTATCTAATACTGGACTTTTAGATGCTCTCTATGTCAAAGAGGGAGAAAGGTAAGCCTCTAGTTGAGAGTGTTTTAAAACGTCTTAGAGGAATTTGAGTGAGCATGGACTATATGTTAAACATGTACATTTGCTTTATGTAAATGTATTGTATATGCATGTCTGCTTATTTACCTAATTACACATGTAAAATAATTTGTGAAAGTGTAGAAGCTTAGCTCTAATGAAATCAGTGGTGAAAAAATAATTTGCAGTTTTGTACGTTTAAATTATATGAAATGAAGTGGAATAGTGCAATACTGAAGATGCGGTACTGAAAGCTAGTTTAAAAACGTATGTGTTATTGTAAAGATAGGTACAGGCATTGTTAGGAATCATTATTCTTTGTGTGGGTGTCTCAGAAAATAGGATAGGCATAAAACATGAAACAGTCTTAAGAAAAGATTGTGACCTTTGTAATATTGTAAGGAAAAATAGTTAACAGAGGGAAAAAACAATTATGACTTGGTCATTGTGGTTCAGCCACCCAACGCTAGATTTAATCAGAGGGAATTTGGGAAGTATGCAGAACTAACATGCATGCCCATTTTCATCACTTTTGCATGGCCATTTCAGTTTTCAGAAAATTTTGAGCTGCTTGATGTGAATATGTGTGGATGCTCTTCAGTTTCTTTGCAGTGTGCAGAGAGCAGTTGCATGTGAAAATCTGCTGTTATAGCTAAAAATCCTAAAGGTGACTGAAATAATTTCCATGTGAATGATAAAGCAGGGAAGAAGCAGCCAAGTGTACTATCAACAGAGTGTTTGCTGTGTGCCAACCGATAAGAAAGCTCATCGTATGCCATATGCCAACCAACTGGAAACTAAATTAATGCCATATGCCAAGCAATTGGAAACTTTGTTCAGTTTTGATGTGGCTATTCTGAAGTAAATGTGCATGAAAAAACATATATTTTTTGTCAGCCAAATGTGTGACAGTGCCATTTCCAGACTGTGCCATTCAACTGTGTTAACAAAACTAATATTTGTATTTTTTCGTTGAAGTGTTCTTCATCAGGTGAATAAAGAATTCTTCCAGAACCCAAAGAAAACTCAACCAAAAGCCACAGTCTCCTTCCTTTTTGATTTTTAAAAGATCTCTTCCTTCCTGACTCTGTCTAGGCACTGAGTTGTCAATGTCATGCTCAGGTGGGATGTCCATTTTCTGCGGGTTCGTTCAAATCCTTATGCGAGTCCAACACTCCAGCTGTGGAAGTATGTATGAAAACAGTGGGCTGGCTCCAGACAGCAAGTGAGGGGGTTTGCCAGACCACTCTCATGTGCAATGCTGTCGTCGCACAACATTCATCAGTCTGTTGTTCCTGATGTTCAGCATGCTGTGGACTTGCTTTTTGTTTTCTTTCCATAAGGCACTTGTACAGTTGTCACGTTGCTCTCGTTTAGAGAGTTGAGCCTGAGATGACTCCGTCGTTAAGTGAATCTCTTTCTCCCGTTGTTCTCTCTGCCAGTGAGTGCCAGTGAACCCGAACCAGAAACAGAGACAGAACCAGAACCAGAGCAGGAGGCTGAGGCCAAGCAGGGAACGGAGACACCCAAGGAAATAGAGGCTACAGAGGTGGGACCAGAGAGTGAGGTGGAGCAAGGACCAGAAAGAGAGCCAGAAGAAGGTGCAATACTCAGTGAAAAAGAGAGGCAGAATGAGGAAGTGAATGAAAAAGACAACTGCTCTGCATCCAGCATATCCTCAGCAAGCAGCACTTTAGAGAGGGAAGAGAGAGAGGACAAGTTAACCAGTGACAATGAAACTGGTAAAGTGAAGCTTTTTCAATAATAAAGGGTTTCTGGTGGAAAAAAAATATTAAATTAGCAGCTCTGGTGTTGTGTTAATTAGCTAACAAACCCTTTACGCCTATCTTAGACTTTCTTCACCACGGCCAAGTCTACTCTCTGCTTGGAAATCCACAGACTTTGATGGGGTTCCTACATTTGAGGGACAATGAAGCCTTGATAAAATGAGATTTCCTTTGATTTGAGACCATTTTCTTCCCCTAAGATTAATGTATTAACTGCTGAATCATTGGTTGCAGTGACTTGCATCTTTATCTCCCAACGAATTTATTTGAGTTTTCTACACATAAAATAATGACACAAGGGGCTGTGCTGACATGATTTGTCGTAAAATTCCAGATACTTTTTCTCATCCTTTTAGAGAAAGAGGAAGAGCAATGAGGGCTGGGATGTTTGTTCCTTCCCTCCAGTTCTCCTGTCTTGGTTAGACTTCAGAAAGCAGAAAGAGGTACATAGGAGCTACTAAAGATAGGTCTGGGCTATGGCCATCTTCAGCTTGTGTAGAGGAGGCACATGAAATAGACCTTGTCTGGAAAAGAACAGTTCTTTAGTGACCAGTGGTTCTGGTTGGATATGCCACCAGGCACCCTAAAGGCCCAGCCTAGAAAATACCTTAAGAACCTATTTTCTGCCTGGAGAGATAATGACAACCAGAGCCTGTCATGCAGTCCAGGCAGGGAGGGAATAAAAGGCAGATTTTGGGCTTTGATGATTAATTATTCTTTTCCCCTTTTTATGGGGAGGTAAAGGAATGTAATGTAATTGGGGCATTTGGTTCCCAAGTTTTCTTAGGGCTCAACAGTCCATGCACTCCAGTGCATTGTTCTAAGTTTTCTAAATTCTAGATAAGAAAACAGATATTGATTCCCAGTGTGAAATAGTCTTGCTCCTTCCTGAAAGAGGGATAACTGAATCACAAGGATTAGCTCACAGAGAAAAAACTGTAAGATTGTACTGTTCGTGTTTAAACTCTATCACTTTTTTTTTTTTTTTCCTGGGAAGCATTAAGTTAATTTTGTTCTAAATTTAATATCTGTCTTCTTTTCAACCAGCACCAAGATTAAGTTACTTAGAATGCTATTGTACTCTTAGAGAATGTAGATGGATATTTATGTAGGAAAGGGAGGGGAAGGAAGACAGATGAAGGATGTCGTTATGCTGTGGCATAGTCCAAGTGCAAGTAAGGGAGAGCAGGTTACAGGTTTTTTCCCCTCGTCTGTCACCAACTCGTTACCACTCTAATCAAGTGCTTATGTACTGTTTGTTAAAAGCTAAGAAATGTACTCTGTTATTGAAAGATCAACATCTTAACATTGACCTACATTACCAGTAAACCAAAGATTGATTAGGTTGTGCTATGTAGGAAGTCTCATGTAGTGAGTTGTTTGCTCTTTAGTAGGTGAGGAGATTCAAAAAGCAAACGAGAGTGCTTTCTCCAGCAGATCTCACATTCCCAACAAGCAGTTTGCAATTTATGAAGCAGCCCACTGGTTCTGCCCAGATGCGTTAAGGACAAAGGAACAAAGCCTTTGGTCCTGGATTCTCCTTTGTTAGCCATCCTGCTGGATTTGGCTTCCAACAAGTCTTGTTTCTCCAATGGCATTTCAAAGCTTTACCTGTGGAGAGGAAGGCAGAAGAGGCCACCAGGGTAGCAAGAGTCTTCACAGCAATAATCTTCGATCAGCTATGGCACGTGGAGGCAGACTTGGGGAGCCCAAATTAGAGATTGTGTCAGGGGGAATTTCAGTGAGCAGTTTTGCAAAGGGATTAAATCCTGGAGGATCTCAACTGGTGAAACTGAGAGCGGGTAGGTCATGTGGGATTTGTAGGAAGAATCCTGGGAGAAACCTTGAACATCTTTGAAGGAAGGCTGGGAGTAGGGGGAAATCCTCTGTAAGAGCTTAGCTGGGTAAAATCTGTGGTATGGGGAAGGAGTTGTCTGGTCACATTGTTTAATGAAACTACCTCAGAGACAAACCTAAGAGACTACCTCAGATGACACATCTTGGTGAGAAAGCAATCCCATGGATAAAGTCTGAGGAAAAATAAACAGGTAATGGAAGCAGTCAGCCTTCATGCAGGGAAGGAGAAGAAAATGGTTTCAGAGATTGTGTCCATTACTGAAAAAAAGTCTTTCTTTTGTCTGGGGTTAAACCTCTGGACTCATTTTAAAACGCGGTTTAGAGGTTGATCTGAATAGAGGTGAGAGTCATTGCTGTCCATATGCTTTGTGCTGTGAGACCCATCCTACATTTTGATGTGGTGTTGTTTTAAAAGGTCAGGAGTGAGTTGTGGGGCCCTGGATGTGGATCTCACCAAGGGGACACCTTTTCAGAGCACAGGGCTAAATGTCGTGGTAAGAAAGCAACTCCATTCATGAAGCAAGCTGTAAAAGATGTTTAAAGCTAGATCTAAAGTATTGAAAAAGATGGGAGCATAAGGGGAGAAACAAAGATAAAATGAAAGTTTAAGAGAAAGGGCAACTGACAGGTATAAAAGAAAATCTTTAACTACAAGAAACCAAAAGGAAGGCAGGCTAGCAATCAAAATAAAATGTGTTTAAGAAAGAGTTTATAAAATATATTAATAAAATGTGTAAAGACTCTAGGGAACAGAAGGAATCCCGTACAGGAAATACAGTAAGTGTGAAGAATTATCTTTGTCCGTGTTTAATCACTTCATCTGATGCCCACTGGAAATAGAAGCACCATAGTTTTTAGACACGTTATCCACATTGGTTAGCAGTATTATATTCAGGGAAATGTAGTCGAAGAGACACATCATTTATTTTTACAATTTGACTGCTGTAGTTTTTATTTATGGTGCTGTCTCAAACATGATATTTTGCAGATTATTATTGAGAAAAGCAGTAGTCGAAAAGATGAAGCCTCAATACAATGACATGTTAAATGATTGTGATGTGGGAGAAGGCCATTAGGCTTTTAATGCTGTCATATATTACAGGGAGGGTAACAGTGGTTGATAAGCAGCATTTTCCAAAATCTTTTATAAAAGTGCTCATATCCCTAGAAATAACTTAAGCAAGAAAAATCTTGCTTATGCTTGTACTCACTGAGTTGCCCTGAGAGCTGTACCCTGAGTATGCAGCCTGCTCTGGGGTTCACATAGTCTGTGTTGTGAAAATGGCCCAGGTCCCCAGCCAGGAGGTGTGAGGAACAGTCAGATGTGAAAGGTGTCCTCTCCTAGCCAGCATGGAGGGAGGAGGAGGAGGAGTAAGCAGTTATGCGTTGACCTTGACATCAGACAGGGAAGATCTCTTTTATAAGGAAATTTTCCTGGGGTGATTCCAGTTTATGGCCAGGTGAAAAGTACGATAATGACCTACTTTGTGCCATTGTAATGATATTTAAGCCCCATTCCAGATTGCTAAAGGTTCCAAGCATTTATGCACCGTATAAAATGAGCTGGGGTAGTGAGTACGAAGTGAAACCTGACAGATTTCAGGAGAAACCTGAACCTTCAAATCCTGACAGTTATATAGCCTCTCCCGAGCTACACTGACTATTTTCTGCTCCCATTCCTTTTTTGAGAATTACTCCCAGCCCATCAAGATTGGGCCATCTAACAGCACTGTCACTTATTTCAAAATTTTCAAAGCTACTGCTTGCCCAGTTTCAGATGAATTGCACATATGTCCCCCAAGTTTTTTCTGGTGGGTTGAAGAGTGTTCTTGGTGCTCTGACTCTTTTCCCTTGACTCTTCCCATCTGTGTGTGTGCGATTGCAGGTCCATGGTCACAGACCATTCAGGATGCTGGTGTGAATGAGCAGTGCAGCAACATCCTCAACAACAAGCGGTTTATGCTGGACATGTTGTATGCGCATAACAAAAAGCCCAAGGATGAAGAGGAGAAGGAGCTGGAGGCGAAGGAGGAAAAGAAGGAGACGGAGGAAAGCGAGGAGTCACTAACTAGCCTAGCCAGTAGGATCTCTATCCTTCAGGCCACGAAGCAGGCCCAAGATGAAAGTGTCAAAAAGATGGAGATTGGAAATCTGGACAACCAAGGCAGCGTGAAAGCCTTTGCGGAAAAATTCAACAGTGGTGAGCTAGCCAAGGGGACAGCCGTGCCTGAAGATGAAATCAGTGAACAGGTCCCCGAGAAAACACCAGCACAGCCAAAGAAGGAATCTGACTACATCTGGGATCAGCTCATGGCTAATCCTAGAGAACTTAAAATCAAAGACATGGATTTTACAGACTTGGGGGAGGAGGATGATGTAGATGTGTTGGACATGGATATGGGTCCTGGGGACTCCCTTGTTCCCCCTCCTCCGCCTCCACCTTCTTTTCTGGGCTTGCCTCCTCCACCACCTCCCCCGCTGTTTGGATGTCCGCCTCCACCTCCACCCTCTGCTAATTTATTGGCTCCTCCTCCGCTGTTCAGCACTCCTCAGGGTTTAGGGTCACCCCAGGTTTCTAGGGGTCAGCCAGCATTTATAAAGAAGAAGAAAACCATCCGTCTGTTTTGGAATGAGGTACGGCCATTTGAGTGGCAGTGTAAAAACAACAAACGCTGCAGAGAATTCCTGTGGTCGAAACTGGAACCCATTAAGGTGGACACGTCCAAACTGGAGCATCTCTTTGAGTCTAAGTCCAAGGAACTGCCTGTCACAAAGGTACAGCTCATATTCAGCTTGCTCTTGCTTTGCTATTGTATTGGTATTCGTTCTGACTTAGATCTAGGTGATTTATGTTGTTTATATGAAAACAGTAGAAAATACTGAGTGTGTTTCTAGCTTGGCCTATGACGGAAGATATTCCATGGCCTGAAAGTAGGAGATGAGCCTAGGGTGGTGTACGTGCCAAGCTGCCCTCCTGTCTCTGGTCCTACCCATTCTGGGATGTCACTTCAGGTGGGGAATACCGACAAATTTTACGTTAGCTTATTCGTAGTTGAGTGCCAAACTAGGTATTGAAATCTGAAATATTTTATGTTACGTTCTTATAAAGGTCACGACGTGATGATTCATATCTGTGTTTTGGACAGTTCTTCACTTGGTGATATTTTCCTAAACATTAAGAGGAAAGGTTAGAATATCAAACTGGGTCTGCTGCAAAGAGCCTACACATGTGCTTTGTTCTGAAGGATCGATCTATCAGCTGGACCAAGTTTACAGCTAAACTCTGCAGGAGTGTTGGGTCTTTGTTTTATACTGGCAAACAGGCCTATTTTAAGACCTTAATTTGTACAGTGTGGCTATCCAAATTTTAGGATAGAAGCTGGCACAGGAAATACCTCTGTAGCTAGGATTCCCTCTTCCTTGGTATTGTCATAAAGTAAATTTACGCAGGCTGGTGACATGGCTGTTTAACATTAGACTCAACGAATGGAAGTCTTTTATGGTTACATTTAGTAGGAATTTGAAGTAGCGTTAAAAAAGTTATTAGCTTGAACATTTGTTTTTCATGGCTACATAAACTCTTTTTCTTCTAAGCACAATAATTGGTATCAGGGAAACAATGTGTTTTTTCCAGCTAAAATGCCAGTAAGAGATGTCCAACTCTTTTACTTAAAATAAATAAATAGCCTGTATGTTTATATGTTTTATAGTGACATAAAAACCAATAAGCACCTTGAATATTTTACTTCTCTTTGGCTGGCAAAAGTTGTTATATATATTATGTGTCATATGTATTATTGTTTGCTCTTAATCTGGGGAGACTGGATGTCTCATGGCAAAAGTTCTCCATGTCACTTCTCTGGGTTATTAACTCAAAATTTTCTAATGGTCGTTCTTGATCTTCTCGGCTGAGTGGAAACATAGGAATTTGAAAAATCAAGCCGCTCATTAAGCACCTAGCGAACAACAGATACATAAATAGATCCTGACATCACTGTTCTTAGCTGAATTTTTGTGACACAAACACGTGTAGATCTGAGACGTATGGCATAGCAGCTCTAAAAACACATTCAGCTGATGGTTCATTTGGCCAATGCTGAGGTTAATTTCTCTAATTCCTTTTCTGCTGAAGAAGGAATGCTGGTGACGTCGTGGCATGTTACTCCTCATCTCTCTCCCTGTAAATACAAATCTGCCACAGATGGTTCATAGATGGAAGGAATGAGAGAATTTTCTTAGATCCATAAAACATTTAATTCCTCGAATTAAATGTGGAATGATGACATATTTACCATTTCCAAACCTTAGCTTGTGCTAAATGCCAATATTGTAATAGATCACTCTGGCTGATTCTTAATCTTTTATTCTCACCTGAAATTTTGATAAAATGTTAAATTGTTGGAATTTTGACTTGTTTACTTTTCCATTCATTCACTGTGCACTTTCCCAAACTACCTTTGGCCATTTTCCCTCCCTCACACTTGCTTCCCAAACCTGCCTGATTCTTTGGCACAGCTTTCGGCTTCTGGCTAGAAGATGAGTGAGCAGGTTTCTTTGAAATTAGTGCAAGTCTGAGGAATGATTTAGGTGACTGCTTTCCTCTTGGAGACTAATAACTGCTCTCTGCATGAGACGTTATACTTTTGGCTCTCTTTCCACCCTGTCCCGTAACACAGACATAGAAGTCTCATTGTCTCTGTAGAGGAGACAATGGTGACCAAGGAGTACCGCAGTGGAAGTCTACCCAGGCTTCTGAGGCTCCTGCCTGGTTTCAGTGAATACCAGCAAATCTTCCAGGGTAGGAGATGGTCTTCAGACCAAGTGAGAGTGGGAATAATTAAGCAGACCACTGAATCCGTAAAAGACTCGAGGTTTGGTACGAAGATTGAACTCAAATTAGAATAGCTCTTGCTTTTTCCAGACTGCTTGGTTTATTTCCAGGGAGTACATTCCCCATTGTGTCTAGTTTCTCCTGTCCAATGGCTCCAATCCAAAACAGGTTTATTCTATAATATCGTAAAGTCTGACACAGCTCAGTTGGTTCAGCTGAAAAAAAAAAGAGCGCAGAGCAACAAATCAAAAGTCAAATCTCCAGATTTCATAGCAAGCGATGGAAGCAGGTGCATGGAAAAGGAACAGTCCAGAGGGATGAGAGGAAAAGCAAAGTCAGGGTGTGTAGCGGGGGCTTGGCTCTATCTTGTGCATATGCTCTTTCATACAGCTGTAACCAATTTTACTCCAGTTTCTAATCCTTCACTGTGATTTCCACAACACACAGCTATAAACAGCTACTTCCTGGCTCATAAGAAGTTTTTCATTAAACACAATAGACTGCAATAAAATAAAGCAGATTTTAAATTGTAGGATATAATATGAGACTTTGGAGGGTGGGGCTCGGAGGGGAGATTCTTGATTTTAGGAAAACTTATGCCATACTCTACACTGATTACAGGACCACCTTTACTTGCATAATTGTTTATTTTCCAGAATAGAGTACCACAACATTATGTTTGTGAATAGAAAGAGAGTGATCAGGTATCTCCTCCAAGCCAATGTAGAATTTCTTTCCTTCTCTGCCAAACAAAGCAGGTATTTTGGCAAAGTACTTCAAAGTGTTTATTTTTCTGTGAAGAGAAATGAAAACACGCTGACACTGCTGAATCAAACGTTGTTGTTCAGCCCTTCCACCATCCATCCACTTGGTGCTGCATGTCATTTGAAAGTATTATTTTGCTGATTCATCTATACCCTGTGGGATACAGTGATCTATCATGTGCCCACAGACGTAAAAACTAGTAGGAGAGAAAAATTAAGGAACACGTTTTCATGTACACATGTATATACATGCCTAGACACATATTGCTTTTGAAAACGTTCATTGCAATTTGAATAAATGCCAAGACAAGTCATAAATATAGACCAGAATTTCTGAAAACGTTTATATGTATCCTGGACAAAGTCAGTGGCAGCTGAGTGATTCCATTTCAAATCCCCATTGCTAAATACTTGTTAATTGAGATAGAAATAAAAAAATTTCCATCTCGCTATTAAGCGATCGCCCATTTTTTTTCTGTACTACTGATGCAGTTCATTCTGCAAGTTTAAATGCAGGAGATATTTCTGACTCAATGCTTATATATAATTACTTATTTATAAGACCGTTGAAAAAGTGATTTGCTTCCCATATTAATTAAAGCAAAGAGGCATTTTAGACTATGTACTCATCAGACTGCCAATCACCTTCTGTGGAATGGTAAAATTTTTTAAGTAACCTATCTGGACTACCCAGCCTTCAACAAAGGCAACAGAACCTGGCCAGTTAAGTCTTGTAAAGATCTAAATTCACTGTAGTTGTTAATATATTGCAGGAATGTTTGTTTCTCACTAATTATACTACCTGATATATTTGTATTTTATAATTATTTTTATATTTACATTTGATAATATAATATTCAGAAGTTCAGGGCTTACGTTACATACTGACACATTAAAATATAAAATCCAGTGCCCTAGTGCCCTGTTCCCTCAAGCATTTGAAGTCATTCTCTGTTAATGAACCTATAAAGCACTGTCTGAAGTCACCTAATATTGTAATAGAAATTAATAGTTGTAGCTTATTTTACGAGTCAGACACTTACACATGTGCAATTTCATTGCAGACAAAAAACAATTATTTTCCTATCAGTAGAGTAGTGAAGTTCATAGTAGTAAAATCTTTCTCTTTTCTTGATCCTTTTATTTATTTGAAAAACATTTCTTTGTAACTCAGCCGTCATCGCTGAATGGATTTAAAATCTCTTCCACCCCTGTTTTTGAAAAGAATTACTTACCCCGAAGTTTCATACACCATATGCAGTTATAGCTCTGGAAAATACCTGTGTGCGTACATCCCCTCCACAGGTCCTCTGCCTTTCCTAACTCCTTGCTAAGGAGCGAGCGCACTGTTGCAATCGCAGTCGTCCCACCGGGTAGCATCGTGTGTCCCCTCAAAGGAATATGTCTCTCGTGTCAAACTTAGGAACCTAAAAACACAGCTGCAGATCTGAGGCTTACTTACCCATACCGCATGTGGGAAGACTAAATTTAACTCCTTTCCCCCAGCCTTTTCCCTTCCGTATAAATTCTTTGGAGCTGTGTAATTCTGTACCGCGAAGGGGAAGGTAGAAAGTGGTGATTTAAAAAAAGGCTTAGTGCGATACAGGCTCAAGAGGAAGCAGTCTCTGGTGAACCTCGCCTGTTTTTATGTGGTCTTGGCCACTAACTGTGGTCCTGAAAATGTGATTAATGGTCCTGGAAGTAAAAATGACTGCTTTAAAGGAGAAGCTGTATCTCAGATCCTTCAGGTAGCTCCCCAAGAAGAAGAGGACTCTCTTATTCAAAGAAGAGAAAGTTCAAGAAGGCTTCAGGGATGCTTTTATGGCGTTGAGAAGATAGCAGTTCTGACAGACCAGACATAAAAATTGAAAACAAATGTTATCTTTACTGTTCTAAAATTTATCCTGTTGACTGCAAAAGTGTTGTTTCTTTTTAAGTTTTAGAAAAAACAACCCTTTTATTACTTTCACAGATCATACTTATGTGGTACTCTGCAACTCTTGTAAACTGCACTTTGCCTTCAGTCTTATCTGCGCACACAAGTTGCATCATACCACATTAATCGTGTTGGTATGATGGAAGGGCTGTGGTGCCGCACTAGTGCTGGGCAGGCTGCTGGGATGGATGGGCATACCTCTTCCTGTGCAGGCAAGGAACTGAGCTGTGCCAGGAAATGGCATCTTTGTAGTGATACAACTGCATTCCCACTATGGGCTGACCCACAGCTGGCGATACTTTGATAAAATCACGTTTACTAACTTAGATGGTTCTTCCAATGCAGAAACAGTGTGTAGACCCGTGTAGACCTAGCAGTAGGGTATTTTTTGACTCGGTGGTTGAGGTGTGAACCCAAAGGAAGTGCAGAACAAAGCTTTGTGGTCTAAAAAGCAATCCTGAGCACAGATTGAGACTCAAGCAGTAAGAGTCTTCTCTTAGGCTTCTCCTAAATCCACAAGAGATGTAAGAGGCACTGCTGCTGTAGACAACACGGATCATTCCCTGTTCTGTACAGTTGTATGGGGCTGCCACATTGCAGCCTGGAAAGAGGCATTGCTTAGCCTCTCTCTTTGCCCTTTTGAGATGCATCTGTTCTAAGACAGTTGCTACTGGAGCCAGTAATGACAGTCCAGGTAACAGGCTCTACAGGCAGGTTACAGTCCTATCTCTGCAGCCTGTGCTGTGCTGAAACACAGGTTTATATATACTGAAGCATCTCTGCACTTGCTTGCATCAATATACTGGTCTTCTCCCTACATTGCTGTGCTTGACAACATCCCTCAGCCCATCTCTGATAGGGCAAAAGAAGGAGAAACAGAGAAAACATGATTCCAAAGTTCATGTGTATGGAGAGGGAGAAAAAGCCCCGGTGCATGAGGAGCAGAGTCCTCTCCTCTTGCAGCTGCCTGGTATATGACATATATAGTTGCCAAAGAAAGAGCTTCTTGCATGGGATAACGAGAGAAAGAGAGTCATAGATTCATAGATTCATAGATTTCTAGGTTGGAAAAGACCTTAGAGATCATCAAGTCCAACCATCCCTAATCCCCATTAAACCATATCATCAAGTAGATCATCCACCCTATTCTTAAACACATCCAGGGATGGGGACTCAACCACCTCCCTGGGCAGCCTAATATGCCCCCAGTCATACTGGGGCATAAAAGCAAAGACTACGTTCAACACTGCATTATGCCATATAGATGGTTTGTGAGTCACTTTGCCTAGTTGTTTCACATTTGCCACTATGAGGATGGGGAGAGAGAGGAAGAAATTTCTTGGGTCTTCTCTAGAATGGAATTTAAAGCGTATCTTGTTAGCTCTTTGTGCTTTCATTCTTATTTCTGCTGTAGTTTGTACTGGAGGTTGAATCGGAAGATTATGTGTAGTCTCAAATAAAACTTTGAAGAAAGCAGGTGGGTTGAAATTGTTTTGCACCTGCCAAGGGCTTGATGGGCATATCATGAGCAGCAAGGTAGAATACCCTTCCACTGGCAGCCAGAGGTCAGGAAACCATGCCAGTGTCTCCAGAAAGGCCTCTATAGCTCCTTTGCCAGTGCCAAAGATGGATTTATAGCGTAGGAGAGTGCTGGCAGGCAGGTGGGAACCACTCTGCCTGTTTCCCAGCCTGCCATGCAGGTGAGAGAGGGTCAGTGGCCACTCCGGGTCGATGCATCCAAGGTGGAATTGAGCCCCAGAGCCCATCAGCCACCTGGCAGCTGCTCTGCTGACCCTGTGCTGGCCGGTCCTGCCACACAGCAGAGCTCTCGCCTGGCAGAGACAGTTTTAGGCTATTTTCAGACCAGCTCCTGCCCCGAACTGCAGTGTTTCCAGCCCTCACGGGGACTCCTGTGTGTCAGGCTAGCTCGGCTTTGCGCAGCATCTGAGACTGCATTCATCAATCTGGTTAAATCCTGGCAGCTCATGCTGATGCCAGCAAGGATGTGGTAGAAGAATTCAGCTTTTTTGGATGACTATAAATTAATTAGATTTACTTTCAGTGTCAGCACCCTTGAGTAGGGGAAGTCATTAGCGAAAGCAGTGACTTTTTCTTTACAAAGGGCTGGAGAAATAATATTCTCGTTCTCTTCTTTACCAAGAAAACTGCTGCAGATGGGAAGCGACAGGAGATCATTGTATTGGACTCAAAACGAAGCAACGCTATTAATATTGGCTTGACTGTATTGCCTCCTCCCCGGACTATCAAGACTGCTATTTTGAACTTTGACGAATATGCCTTAAACAAGGAAGGAATAGAGGTAAGAAAGAATATTCAATGTCTTCAAGTCTGTATTTTCAATGTTTCCTTTTTTTTTTTTTTGATGTTGCACGTGGTACAGGCCAGACTTTTCATGGAAGAGAGAAAAGGGGATGTATTGTATCATGACTGAGTGTTGAAACGTGTCAAATCAATGCAGTGTGCTCAGAAGCGTGTAGTATTCACCTGAGGTTGGGCGTGCTCAGTAAATATGGATTCCCTGCTTTGTTTGTGTCTAAGTTTGAGTAGCAATGGTGTTAATTCCTGTCCAGATCTTCAGAGTACTATCTGTTCCTCTGAAGCTTGACTGAAATACTGTGAGCAGCAAGAAGAGGCAGTGAGTTACTAGGGCTGATGCAACTGGTACAGAGTTTAATAAAGTTCATGCCCAGCTAGCTGTTGGAGTCATTCTAGATTGTATATCTAATGGAAAACAAATACAGTGACTAGTTCTGCTCAAAATAGCATTTCTGTGTTACTGCTGTTTGAAGAAAAGCAGTTGGTATAAAGATTACAGATGATGTAATTTTTACCATTACATATTTGACTTTGCAGATATTCTTACCGAGATCCAAGATGAGCCCTGTTTATTATTTTTTTTATCAAAACATTTTTCTTCTATGAAGTGTAAAAGACGACTGCTGCTCCCCTGCTTTTTTTCATTGTGGTTGTATTCATTTCAAATGTATTTTATATTTTTTAATAAGCCTATATCATCTAGTAAGAGTAGTCTGCACAGCTACAAATCTCAAGCAGTGACTGAGCTGCAGAGGTCATGTATTGATTCACAGTCACCTGTCAGTGGTTTGGCACTGTGTTACAAGATTTCCCCCTTTCCACCTTCACTGTGCTGACTGCAGAAGAAAATGAGAGAAGCTGACTGGAATGGAAATGGAGTTGCCAATAGTTACATGCAAAAGAAATACTTTAGACAAAAGATCGTTCTAGCTAGAGGGCAAGGCCTGCTTTATCCCTTCTAGAATATAGTTTCTTCCCAAAGCTATATTACTTATTTGCTATATGCATACCTTACTCATACTATGAAGGTGACAAATCAGGCTAAAAAAATAATTTTTCATGACTCAGCCCATGCACCCACCACTGCACTTTGCAGTACTAAGCTTTAAAGAGTTGGAGAGAAGCCTTAAAGAGTTGGAGAGAAGTACCCCTCCAGCCAAGCCCAATTCACAGACCACCAGTTAGATCTCAGTGCTGTAGACAGTATTTCTGTAGAAAGTCAAACATAAAATGGGTTATAAAGAAGGACACATCTTCATTATGTTCTGTGTATCATCTCCTTTGAATTGCATCCTTCTCTGGCACGCTTAACAGAAGTTCAGCTGCTCTGCACAGCTCACCCTTTCCAGTGCCAACGTTTGTAGCTGGGCTGTCCCGTCTGCCAGCCACCTGTGGTGTGCCTCGTACCACCACCGCACTCTCCTTTGGGTGGCCTTTCCATTAGCTGCCAGAAACCCATAATTTCGTTTAAAATATATATGCAGGTAGCTTTCAAATTGAAGAATTCTGAAACCAGCAAATGATACACTGTTGATATACTTGCCCAATACTAAAGAAAATGGGGTTTCTGAGTTCTGTGTCCACAGCTTGAAGCTAAGGATGTGAGCAATCCTGATGTGATCATTCAGATATTTAAAATCAAGAGAAAGGATAAGTGGAGCAGAGCCCAGGTACTTTGCACCTTGAGGGATGAAGCCTTCATTGATTAGGAAGGATGATGTTCATGGAGAAAAGAGCTTTTTTTTCTCAATGTCCCGTATTCATTTACTTCTTATCAGGTAAAAGCCTGCACTGAATTCAGATTCCCTTCCCTAATCCCCAAGTTACAGATTTTTCTTATAGCACATTGTTACAGGGTCAGACAAACGTTTATAGTGACATAGAAGGCTAGATTAAGCTATGAAGAATTGGCCAAGAGGTGCACAGAGAGATAGAGAAATGCATCATTGTGGGTCCCACTGTTTTCAACAGAGCCCTGCCTCAGTTTTCCATACAGGCCCTTTGATCTACAGTGTAGACAAGCTTTGTTTCTTGTTTCTCTTCTCCTCTGTATCTATCTGTTCATTGGCTTTAGCCTTAGAGTTGGCTTAGAGGCAACAGGGTTGTCTCTCCAGTCTAGATTATTAGTAAGTTTTCTGGTTCATATCTACAATTCCTAAATACTAAGAAATAGTTTGTAGTGATGATGAATGAATCAGTAATAGTGTAAGCATCAGCTTCATTTGTATAAAAACATAGATAATAAAGCAAATTATTTGCTGTATACTTCGTAGCTAAGCTGTGGGTTGAATGAGGCAGGACAGGTATGGAAAAAAATGTGCAATTGATCTAATTAAAAAACTGCATTGCGGTGGGTGCTCAAAAGTCTTTCTGCACAGTTAATTGTCTAGAAAAGATGTCACGGCTAGTAAGCAGAAAAGAAAGATGTAAGGACAGCAGGAGCAGAGATGTAAAGTGTGCAGTGAGGACATACTTTTCACTGCTAAAATTTCAGAGAAGCTATAATTTAGGATCGTTTTCAGCTTTTGACAGTTCCAACATGGAGCAGGGCACCAACAGGGTAAAAAGTCACCTGAGCCATCCTTTGCCTTGGCTGTGAGCTCTGTGTTCCGTCCTTCACTGAGGACCGTCATCACTGTCGTGTTAGTGTGAGTGTTTAATCTGGTAAATTCAGGTTAAATGGTATCTTAAAACTGACCTTAGCAATTCCTTTAAGGACAGTGGACTAAAGTAGTTCTGACAATAGCGCTAGCAGCAAGGCAGTGATGCAGTGGGATGCAGGCTACAAGTTTGTGATAGCCCAACTCATCGTCAAGTTCATAGTGACCCGGTAAACCCTCCGCTCCTGTCCTACGTTCTGCTGAATGCTGCTTTCCTTGTGACATTTAACTCTTGTTAGTCGTCCATACTTTGCTTTTTAACTTCAAATGTGTAACTAAGATCGGAGAAAAAATTCTCCAGGTATTTTAAAGCCCTCTATACCTAAGTATGTTGCATATTTTTTAGGCCATGTATTTGAAGTGGTGAGGTACCCCTGAGCTGTGAAAATGGGCAGAAGATGGGGGACACAGTGCTAGAAAGGCAGATGTAGTCCATTTAGTATGCAAAGCAGACACTGTTGGAAAAGTATTTTCAAAGGAATGCACAATGTTTGTCTGCAAGTAATGCATCAATCCAACATAAAAAATTTTTGCCACCTTACATTTGCCAAAGTGGTTGTGTTTTCCTTTCTTTGAAAGCTTGACATTCATTGTGTTCAAACAACTTGGAGCTTGCTGCAGGACAGAGAGCTGCCTGCTTACTTAGAATGGATGAGGGCTTTCTGTGAGATAAGCAAAAGAAGCAAGCTTAAAATCCTGGCACCTAATTTTTATTAAGTGTATCATAGGCAACTGCAAGAATAGAGTCCACCAAATCAGTCCTTGGTGTTTGTCTTTAGTAAAGTAAACAAGTGGGTCGTTCTATAAAGTGCTACTCAGCAAGGGAATGTGGATCAAAATCAAGTTATACCGAAAGAGTATGATTAATTTAGCAGAGTAAAATCAGGGTAATGCTGTGAGGAAATTAAGGGAGGTTGCTTTGTCCTTTAAAATATAGCTTTTGCTGACAATATTGATTGCATTGGTAGATACACCTTTTAGTAAAACTATTTGAAATCAAAAAACTCTCTGGGTGTGCTAGGCCCTCCATACCCACCTTTTGTTAAGTCCTTCAAAGTCCGGTGTCTGGAGTGGCTAGATAGCCCTGAGATGTAAAAAGGGGTAAGAAATGAGAACCTGGTGTAAAAAGGCAGATGGTGACATGTATAAACAAAGAATTTGATTTTTTGAAATGATCAAGGTATTTAAGTTTTTATTCTGATAGTTGCCGCAGTACGTTGGCATTTGCAGTTTCCAATTTGTTTAGCTAATACTTTGTAAAAGTATGATGGGATGTTTCAAATTATGCTAGCTTGCGTGACCTGAAAAAACACCTCTTTTCACACCTCTAGACAGAGGGAGAACGGACTCCACGGTGCCTTGCTGGCCCTACACCCACGGTCAGCGTATTGCTGCCCTAACGAGTTTCAGACTGTATTTAAAGAAAAAAAACCCTATATTTTCACTCCTTGCAGTAAACCAAAACATCTTCTACAGTTTCTGTGACCAGCAATGGCATGTTCATGTATTTCAGTAGAGAGCTGAGGAGGTGGAGTGGTCTGACCAAGGCAATGGCTGTCAGTTCCTCATCTTCAGGCATGGCTATCAGGATTTTTAGAGGTAGTCTCTTCTCAGAGTTGGATCATTTTTGGAAGAGTTGAAGTCTAATTAGCGCAGGCAGCCTCACTTACCTTCGTATGCTTTTGTATTTTGTCAGAGTTTCTGCAGGTAATGCAAACCACTGAAGTGTCTCATTAATAGCTGCCTGGAAAGCTGAAGTGTGAGACCCTTTTTGGAGCTGAATCGTCTGCCAAGGCCCATCAAAAAGCTGATGAAATACCCACTAATGTGTATTTGGTTGTGCAGCTTACAAATTTGTGGGCCTCAAGCCACAGAAAGCTTTGGAGTCAACAACAGCTTATTTACCAATTTTTTGGGGGCTCTTGTTCACCTGGTAAAGTCAGCTGACATCAAATATGAAAGCTGAGGCACCTCTGCAACCTTATCTCTGAGAAGCTCCATTATATCTCTTGAAAGAGATGACTTAACACCTAATTTCTACAGAGGCTCTGGGCTATTCACAGTCTCTGGTTAGATGCTTCCTTATATCCCACAGTGAGGTCCATAACCCTCAGGCATATGGGGTTTATAAATTTTGCCCTGTGTGCCCTGTGAGGCCTTCCTCGTAGAAATTTTTGGAGATCATGCATCAGGATGGCTGAGTCCAGGAAATAAGCCGCTTGATCCTTTTGCTGAAAGTTCAAGCAAGTGGCTGGGTACAGCAGTCCAGGAGCAGAATAATTAGGATCCATTATCTCATGCGAACAGGATCTCCAAAAATTCCTTTTTTTTCTCCATGAAAAGATTTGTGTGCTGGTGTTCCTCAGAATTTTAGTCTCTGGCCCAAACGGTTGTGAGAGTGCATGGAGGTGGAATTTCCTGTATCACACAAATTAGAGGATATGAGCATAGGGTTTGTTAATAACCAATTCTTCTTTAATCGACCTGAAGAATGCCATATTGGGGAGAGCGTTATGAACTAATAATTAGATACAAAGCTATTTGTGATTTAATGGTCACATCGAGTGCCAGTAACCTCCTGCACTGCTGTGTTTTTATGCTACTTTTACTGTCAGTGATGTTTAAAAAAAATAGTAAAAATAAAAATAACAGTAAACTGGCAGATGGCGTACTCATCAGTTTCCAGCGCTGAACAAATGACTCAAATTAGACATAGAGTAGAAATCAAGAATAGGAGCATTTTACGACTTGCTCAGGTGCACACCGTGGACGATGACCAGCAGGATCAGAATCATTTGCCTGAGCAGATGAAAAGTGCCAATGAGCAGGTCGTTGTTATGGGGACAGTTGCACCCTGGATGGGGTGAGAGCTGCCAGCAGCTCTGGTCCCATCAAGGCAGGGCTTTCAGCAGCACGAGTGATCCTCAGCAGCTGGCAGCACAAATACAGGCTCTTTCTCTTGGCATTCTCCATTTCACATGCTACGGTACACAGCACAGCAGCCTTGCAATACTTGGACTTGAATGCCTTTTGTCAACTTCATCTGGCTTGTGGTGTTTACATAAAGCTGAAGGAGGAGGAGGAAATAAAGCTTACTGTTTCATTATTCATTTTAAAGATGCCCGAATGCAGTGCAAAATCTCTGGAGTGAAGGCCCTACACCACCACAAAATACTTGTGGGATCCCTGGGTAGCTGCCAAAAGTCTTAGTTATTTGCAGGAGGCAATTGAGAGTACTGCTGAAGTGTTAGCCTTCAAAAATGCATCAGAAGCGTTTTTACATCCATCACATGGCTACTGCTAAACTCTCCATGTATGGATGTTCATATCATCCTAGTTGCAAGATGCCTTGGCTCAGCTGAGGGGATGTTGGCTTCTTGTTGTTATTGAAGGGAGGAGTAGGCACTAGGAGGCCCAACTTCTTCGAAGGACACTCTGCAAAGCACCTCTCCTTATGAGTTTCAGACTCAGTCTCTCTTTTTTATGAACTTTTTTAGATGGGTATTGATTAAGCACTGAGAAATGCCCCAAAGCAGCTACTTATAAATCTACTTTGATGTTAGGTATGACCTGAGTTACAGATTTCAGCATGTATGGATGGATAGCACATCTCAAAATCCGTGCTATCAATCAACACACAAATGCTATCAATCAAAACAGTTATACAACAGAATATTTTCCAAACAGTCATTGACAGGGGAAGGAAGAGCACTCTTGTTCTTCGCCTGATTGACCAGGAAAAGTCCCTTGCTGTCCACACTTAGCTCCAGTGCTGTACAAGGAGCCAGATGAATTATTGATACTGGAGGGGGCAGTAGTGCTAATTTGATGAATTGGTTATGTCGAGCGCTGGAGTAAGACTGTAATTTGGATTGGCAGATCTGATAGCTCTTTGGATATAATGTTATATCAAAACAGCCTCTATCATTATAGGCTACAGCAAAAACATGTCATTCCTCAGATGAATAAACATAAGTTCTGTTGAAAATCTACTGCTTCGTTTTAATGAGGCATTGATCAGCAGGGTAAAGACCTCAACTGATCTGATGCCTTTGTGTTGTTTTGCTTTTCTTTTTCATTTTAAAATGCACTTTTTATGTTAAAAACTAATTAAGAAGCAAAACCCTAGAGAGCAATAATTCGAGAAGAAAAGCTGCCACGTCTAAAAAAGCATGTAAAATCCAAGACTTAAAAGGAAAATTTAAATGTTTTGAGCCATACTGACAGCAGAAACTGGAAATACTGAGATCCTTTCTCATCAGTATTTTAGAATTTTCGGATCAAAAGAGAAAAAGGCCATATGTTATGCAATGCATAATTCAGCTTTAAATTCAATGCTCAGTTTGAGTGAAGTTTGAGTGAAGTTTTTGGGACGGACCTAATAAGCTGCAATAGTTGTCATATTTCATAACAAACAAACCAGACTGAACAAAAACTAATAAATGATGAGAATAGCAAGGCACAGGAGTCCTCAAGTTATTTCTGTATAACTACAAGTGCATGGGAAGATTCGTGGATATCGAGGCTACAAGGGACCTTAAGATCTAGTCTGACCTGCAGTAAATCACGGGGCACAAAATTACACTCCTTCTACCCTCACTTCCGTATGTAATTTGCAGAAAGGTGGCCGGTTTTGACTTAAGCATATGAAAGCTGAGGAGAAGAGTCCTAACCAGTGTCCCTGTGTCTCCTTCAGTGTTTCATCCCATGATTAACTGTATCTAATGAGCACAAATTTTAAAATAAAGCAATTTCAGACAGATGTGGTTTTCAATAAACTGCAGATGTTTGAGATAGCAGACCTTGTTTTGCATTCTTGTGCAGTGGGTTAGTTCTCGGTTACTACAGGGCTGTCCTAATTTACCAGCCAGGGACTTGAGGACTTCTGCTGTTGCTGCTGTGAAGTGACACAAGGTCCAGCCCTTGCACGCCTCTCGGCCCCACCACTGACACCTGCCTTTTGTCTCCCTTCACAGAAAATCCTGACCATGATCCCGACCGAGGAGGAGAAGCAAAAGATCCAGGAGGCACAGCTGGCGAACCCTGATGTGCCCCTGGGCAGCGCCGAGCAGTTCCTTCTCACCCTCTCCTCCATCAGTGAACTCTCTGCTAGGCTCCAGCTCTGGGCTTTCAAGATGGACTATGAGATAGTGGAAAAGGTGAGGAGAAAGCACGGAGGCAGGGGTGGAGACTCTTCCGAGGCTCTGCTTAATCTTTCCCTGACTTTGTTATTATATAAGCATATATTTTGAGGAAATGGTAAATGGGTCACTTTTGTTTCGGTAGCCAACCAGGAAACAGCTAAAATGATCCTTCATAATCTGTTCCTTCTATAAAAGAAAATTAGAGATTATGTCTTCCTTCCTTTAATTAGGCAGTAATGATATTGGAACAAAGAAGAGGGCTAAATCCTTACCACATCTTTTCCAGATGTTGTTATTCAGGAAATTCTTGATTCAGAGCAGTAAGAATTTTTCTTTGGATAAGGATTGAGTGAGGACTGCAGTATTCAGCCTTACATCGTAAAATGGAAGTATTGATCTTACATCCATTTGAACTAAGGAAAACACCATCCATTAAAGTTATTTCTGTTTATAACCCTCTTTCAAAAAAATAAGGCATCCTTCAGGGGTGCTCACTCACAAGCAGTTGTTGCGGCCTTCATGGCTGGCATTTATTCAGAGAACACTATAATTGGGTTGTCTGTCATGAATGATGAATCACAGACAAACATTTCAAAATGACAGTGTATAATTTTGGTGCATAGGTGAGACAGAATGAAACCGTGCAAGTGATTTCAGCCACCTGCTGAATTCCATAAGGTCTTTCAGGAATCTCAGTGCAGGAACTTTCTTCTGGCTGCACTTCTGATGCATACGCCATGCATTGCTCTTTGAGCAGCTCCCTCCTGTATATATTAATTTTGTATGTGTATCTGTGTGCATGTGTGTATATTTAAAAATTGGTATAACTTTGTGTGATACAGATTCGGAGAAGAGGGACTTGCTTCTGAAAACGCCTTGTGTTTACCTAGCCATGACTGCTTAACAAGTTATACAACAGTGGATTGATTTGCAGATGATACTGTCAAGATTACTCAACCTCTGCTTAATTTTCTTTGATTTTAGGAAATGCAACCACACTAATATTCAGGATTTTTTTTAACTGTGACATTTTAGTCTTAAACATTTACGTTTCTGACTTGTAAAACATAAAATACTTGTATTGTATTTTAGCTCGAATATTCTTTTTGCCAGTTTTTTGGTTTTTTTTTTTTTACTCTGGTACAGCTATTTATTCTGCTTTGAAGTTACCACAAGGCTAAATTGTTCCTTTCATGTGAGTGGAGTTAGCTGTAGCTGTTAATCTGTGTCTATACCTAGAATTTATAGCTTCCTCTCAATCAAAATTAACATTTGAAGCACTGCTAAAAGCTGAAGAAATTCTGATAGTTTTCCTATTGCTGATCCTATAATGTTTATGCCACAAAGTTAATGAATTGCCAGCTAAAATCCATGTGGAATTGATGCTAATATAAAATGTTTGAAATACCTAAATTACTCAGAGAAGCAGTAGCTGGGGTAAAGATAAGAGCAAGATTTTTATCCCTGTTGAAGAGTGATAACTATGATAATATAAGAGCATCATGTGATAAGCAGCCTAGCAGACAAGCACAGGTGTGACAAGCAGCCCGGGTCTTAGTTGGGTGAAGAGAAAGATACAGGATCGGATATCAGAGGTATGAGAGTGAGCAAGCAGTTGGGTCTCTCCAAGAACAAAAGGTTGAAATAAGAGTTTAAGTTCCAGGTAACCAATAAACATAAGCCTTATTTAGACTGAGATAAGATACCATGAACATATCCAATTAAAAAATGAAGTAGCTTGCATTACTGATTATGATAATACGAGAGGCCCATAACCTGCTAACCTTCTTTTCTTGAAACTGGTTTTGTAGAAGATCCATCTGCAAATGGGCAAACCCTTCCTGAAATTTAGGTGTCAGATCGCTTACCTCCACAGTTTTTGTCCTTTTTTTTTCTGTCCAGCATTTGCTTGATTTTTTAAAATTTATTTATTTTAAAATTAGGAAAATTTATAACAGTTCAGAATGCACTCATATTATTTACCGAGTCTCACACATATTTTGTGTAAGAAACGAATGAACGTTACTATTATTTCCATGATGCTGGAAGTTTTAGATGGTCCACAGTATCAGCAGTGCAAAATATCCGAGTTGTTGACATAAAGCTGGGGTTCTCATTCATGAGACTCGTGTGCTGATGAGCCCAGAACAGTTTGCCTAAGCAAGTCTTAGCTCTATCTCTGACAACCCGAAAGAAAAACGGCATGAAATTGTTCAAGAGAAAGGTTAAGTGAGGTATTGTTCTTGTTTGTAGAAAAGCTTTTCAGGCATGATGAAGGAAGTCATCTTTCTTGGGCTGAATTTAATTAACTGAAGCAAGGCAGGGTACAGTGCTGGGGAGCAGCCTCAGACTGTACGAGGCTGAGCTGGATGAATGAATACTCATTTTTTTCTCTTTACAGACAGTTATGGTTCAGTTATAGCTTTTGCTCTAAGCTGTGGAGCATGCATCAGTGCATTGGTTTAGATATTCAAATACACGCATGTGAAAATGAAAATGGAAAACTCTTTCCAAATGATTGGTTTGATAACGCGTATACTGTTTCGCAATGTTAACATGTATCTAAGGTACCGTATGCCTTGAGGTCAGTAGTGAAACAATAATTTTCCTCACCTTTTTTTTTGGTATCATGTTTTAAAGGCATAGACAAAAGAGGTAGAGTTTCAATTTTAAATCTTCATTTTCAGACTTGTGATTGCTCTGAAAAGTTACACTGTGTTACTGCTAGATCTTTGTACTGAACTATTTGTGATGCAGATGCTGCCAAATTTCATTATCTGAGAGAAAGAAAGAGGAATAAAATCTTTAGTTTTTCTAAATCAGGTCTTTTTTTTCTTAAGGTCACTATGGGCAAATATATCCTTATTGCTGATAACTTTAAAAGATCATAAATGAATATAAGCAGGTGTAGAAATGAGACAAGTAGAACTGGTAAAGAAAAGGGCTTGCTTCAGTTTCTCTTCTGAGCAGAAAGATTACTCTTGACTCTAATCTCCCTGGAGACAGTGTGCTGGAGAAATAAGTGTTAAAAATATTTTACTTTTGAATGATGCTTAAACTGTATGAAAAATTTAAAAAGTGCATCAAAACTTTTTAAGTTTTACAGTATGATCCTGATACTTTCTGTTGCTTTAAAGGGGTATGATACTTTATGCAGGCCAGTCTTGATTAAATGCAAATATAGCAAATTACATTTCGGTCATCTCCAAGTTCCCATCCCAACCAAGTTTTTACCCCTCCCAGAAAACCACGCACGTGAACTTGTATGGGTACAGTAAGCTAAACTTGTTACCAGTGTCACAGGCAATATATATGCACATATATATTGTCACAGCAATGCATATGCCAGATCAATCATGAAGAATCAATCATGATCAGCTGTACAGAACAGCTGTGCTACGGCCTCCCTGTCCCAGGAATTCATTGCACACGTAGTGTTGAGTTCATCTGTGCACGTGCGTCAGACGTTTATCTGGCATTATCAGTTGTCTCACTGCCAGAAATTCAAGGCAAATCCTCAAGTTTCATTCAAGCGTAATTTCTAGGTGAAAAATAAAAATATGGTAAATAAGGATACGTGGTATCTAAGGATATGAGGTAGCTCTGCATTATGTATCTGCCCTCTCTAGGTAGATAGTGAGTTTTATAGGGAGCAAGGATGAATATTTAATCTGTTAATACAGTGCTTAGCACATTTTTTAATTGTTTTTTAATGCTACAATAAAATTTTTAAAAAGCAATTGTTAATGTACACTACAAGCAAGAAAGTCTAAGCTTGGACAACCTGCTTGTAAATAGCTAAATGAAGGGCTACAGTATGGCCTGCTTTGGAAGCCTTTTATGCTACCTTTTTTTTCACCTTCATAGTGTTTTAAATTAACCTCTTAGGAATGATTTTTTTGATAGGTCACAAATTGATGCAAGTGAAGTAGTTCAAAAGCCTGTGTTTACAGCAGATGCAGAGCAGTTTGGGTCGTGCCCATAATGCAACAAAACAAACTAAATCAACCCTGACTTGTAAAGCAATTCAAAGAATTCTGTGCAGCAGTTTATTGATTTTAGTTTAACTTGATGAAGTCTTGGATTATTTAGCACCTCTCCTCTGATGCATAGATTACTTTGCTCACTATACCATCTTTTAATTTGTCTCGGATTTGCCATGTTCCTTTCTTTTCAACAGATGAATTGTTCTGTAGTGACTAGAAATATATGTTTCCTTCATCTTTGTGCTCTTATTTATGGTAAAATATCACTACAATTGTTGAATGACCCGTTGTGTTTCTTCAAGAAACTGAAGTTCTCAGCTATTTTGCCTCTTGGTCTAAAATAACATCTTGATTTTGGCTTCTTGGCTCATAAAGAGTGTAATAATTTGGGAAACGCAAGCTGCTCACGGATGCTTAGGATGACATTTGGAGATAGAAACGATGTGAATTGTTTCTGTGCATGCAAAATAAATAGCCCTGGGCCTCACACAAAGGCTGAGAAACAAGCTCCGTCAACTCGATTACCCTCACTCTCTTCCTTTGAACTCTCTGGTGTAGTTCACTTCCCGAGGTAACGGAACAGAATTTATGTTTTCAAGCCGTATCAGTTTACATACCTATACTCAGATAACATGTGTGGATGGAAGATGCGTTAAGTTAAAAGATTAAAATGAGAACACTTGTAAAGTTTGATGTTTGCAGTGGTTTTTTTTTTTCAGCTTTAAAGTCACACAAGCACAAAACCATATCTGAAACTCCGAGGTGGCCATCGTTTGAAGAAAGCTTTAGAGTCAGGGTGCAAATGCCACATCAGCCAGGGTTCTAACTCTTTTTCGTTTGTTTTTCAAAGATTAGAAAAGATAGTTTTAAGAAGCTTTTTTATCGGTTGGGGCACAGGGATGTTCATGCATGTAACTCAAATGCAGCAGCCCCTTCTCTGATGCTTTCTCACCTGTTTGGAATCACAGAATAATCTCCAAGACAAGTAAGGCAATTGCATGCATAAAGAAGCAACATTAGGAAAGCATTTTATGTATTTTTTTGCTGTCCTTATGTGTGATTTATTAGCTGGAACATGGAAGAAAGCCAGCACCCATGGCCAGTTTGCACTCTGCAAGACGCCAGTTCAGGAACTTTTTGCAGTAATTAATCTAAACCATAGAATTAAAAACTTAAAGCAGCTATAGCCAACTGCAGCCTTCACTTTCTTGTTTCTATTCTCCTGACAGGAAGTTGCAGAACCACTTCTAGACCTGAAGGAAGGAATGGACCAACTGGAGCACAATAAAACTTTGGGATTTATCCTTTCTACTCTACTAGCCATCGGGAACTTTCTGAATGGAACCAACGTAAGCCTGATGTCCCAGCATTTCCGTTGCAGCTTTTTCCTTCAAAAAACAAAAGTTAAAACCATTAAGACAGTTGCAACCTTTTTGTACCAAAAAAAATAATTTAGAAAACAGAGCCTACTTTTTATTGTGTGTCTGAGTGCTCTTTACCGCTTTCAGCATAACCTGAAGGAAACATGGATCTAGGCACTCTTCTGGTGTAACTCCATTGAGTTTAGTGTTGATGTTCCCCATTCAAACTGTGAGAATCGTGTCATGACTCATTTCACTGCAGGAGGGATTTTTTACTCTTTAGCAAGTTAAAAATAAATGAAAGCAGTAAGTTTCTTCTCCCATAGGATTCTTCTTCTTCTTTCCCCTTTGTCCCTACTTGACTAATATGCATGGGAAGGAGTAAACATTTTTTATTTTTAATTTCCTCCCTTTTTTCCCTCTTACAGGCCAAAGCTTTTGAGTTGAGCTACCTCGAGAAGGTTCCAGAAGTCAAGGACACAGTGCACAAGCAGTCCCTCCTGCACCATGTCTGCACTATGGTGGTTGAAAAGTTCCCAGACAGCACTGATCTTTATTCAGAGATCGGGGCCATCACTAGATCAGCCAAGGTATGTCTTGTGGGTAAATATATATATGTTTTTAAAAACCTTCTTTAAAGTAAAATATTTAAGATTTGATTTGATTTGATTTTGTTCCTCCCTGGTCACAGCACTTTTTAAGAATGTGGATTCATGGTGTCATTCCCACTGAATTTCAAAGATGCCAGTACTCTCGCTTCTGAGCTTTGTCTCTCTCTGTCAGGTGGTTTCCTCATCGATACACTAATAGTCAGCCACATTATGACAGCCATTTTAATGTTATATACATTATTAATGTGTGTAACTATTAGGAACTATTTTCAGGTTAAAACTTTATTTGACAATTATCTTCAGATATATTTATTCTGTAGTTTGGGTGAATCTCTTTTTTAAGGCAGATACCTGATTGTATTTTAAGGGCAATGGAAGGAATTAACTTTTTGGTAATAAAATTGTTTCCAGAATGAAAGCATCCTTGAAATATTTTGCTTAACTACTTTTCTGTCCTTCTCTTGACAATAATTTTGATGATTAGGAGTTAGGGGAGATAAACAGGAATAAATGAAACTTTTAGGAGCACCTCTTTTTAAAACAGGGTAATCCCTTGGCTAATGCATAGGTTTGGTCAATGGCTCGATTTGGTATGCAGATTATTTATTACTGCTGCTAGCAGGCATGACAGAAACACTTTAACCTCACTTTTGGAGCTCTCAGAGTGTGAAGTTTCATAGATGACCCTTAAAAACAGTACATTACTTGATTAATAGAGTAAACATGACAGAATATCATCAGGAGATAACAAGCAACAAAATTCTGGTTTGGAGCCATGTCTCATGTGAAAATGGAAATAATTACAGCATATAATACTAGTGTCCATCTAGTCCAGTGTCTTGATTCAGCTGGCCAATACCAGCTGCTTGAGAGGAGAGCACCAGAAGCTTCAAAGGAGGAGGAGAATCTCTTCTAGAAAAATTTTATTTCATAAGCCGTAATACTCATTATTCCTCATCAAATGGAGGAAGGATTTCTTTTCCAAAAGCCACCTTGTTTGATATTGGAGGGAGGGAGGGACAAGATGGGGAACCTGTATAATGCAATTTTTTTAAAACTGCAAAAATCAAATATTATTTTGGCTCCTGGTGCAGGATTTATTGTCTGAATATATTGAACAGGCCAAACTTTTTTTCTCTCTATTTCATAGAATAACTCAGGTTGGAAAGGACCTCTGAAGGTGATCTGGTCCATGACCCTTTTCAGTGCAAGACTGAATTAAACCAGGCTGCTCAGATCCTTGTCTAAGTCTCAACTAATCCTTCTACATCTTTTTGTTGATACAATTTCCAGACTTTTTCTCCATCTTAACTTTTAGAATGGGTTAAACAGTAACAAACACGGTATTCCAGCCTCTCTTTAGGAATGTCATATGCCTACTATGTTTTTCTGTTCTGATTTTGCTATCTTGTGTTAGATATTTTCTATGTGTTTTTGACTGTTGCTATCCTTTTAACACCAGTTGTCTTTGGGCAATTCACAAGGACATCCAGCAGCCTCCTAAGTTGATTGGGCAATTCAGAGCTCAGCCTGATGCACAAAGGGGTCCGGTACTGCCTGCAGCATGCACTTCATTGCGATCTACAATAATGACCAGGATCTGCTGAAGCAGATTTACTGCTTATCTCTCAAACCCTTAATAATCTTAAATCAGGATTAATCTGAATAATTTCTTGCCATCTGTGGACTTTACACTCTTGGTGTGCTTTCTTGTTTCCAGATAATTTTGAAATACAAAGTACAAACCATGAGACACTTGCTGTTAACCCTGTCATCATATGAGAATCAACATGTATTCCTTCTTTTCTTTTGCTCTCTTAACCTTACACTTCATAGGTGACCTCCTGTGAGGCTATTGTAAAGATTCTGACAGTCTAATTTTCTTTACTTGCTCTTATCTGTCCACTATTTTATAAACATATTCAGAACCTAGGAATTATTTTCAGTATTTGATTTCCTGTTATTCATCCTTTCACCCAGGTTACCAAGTATAGTAATAAAGCTTGGAACTCTACAGTCTCCTGAATCAAGCTTGCTGCGTTTGTAAAGATAGGTGAAACTTTTGCTGTCCTCTGATTCTTTAAGTTACTAAGTGCAGTTAAAGCATACTCATTTTAGCCAGTGGCTCAATTTCTTTATTTCAGTTGCTGTCAGAATTCTTGTCTTTTGCTTGTTTACTGCTTTGTAAGCTATCATCCTCTTCTAACATATTTGTTTCCGCTAGCAAGTATTCAAACCTTGATGTTCATGACTATTAAAAAATGAAATACAGAGAAATAAAAGCAGGTACCAGAATAGGTTTCTCCCCAACATCCTCTGTGGTAAAGTCAGATGAAAGAACTCATCTTGTTTCCCTTCCCTAACTTTTGTCTTCTTCAGTTTCTTTCATCTCCAGTGATCCAGGACCTCCTACATATTTTCATTTTTTTTGGATACCGTAAAGGAATTTGTGGCTTTTGTTTTATATCTTTAGATATTTACTCTTTGGATTCCATCTCTGCTCTCCTAATTTTCCTCTTGTACAGCCTATGTTTAGACTTTGTTTTATGGCCTTCACTGAGGTTGGTTTCTCATGTTTGGAAGATTTTAATTTTTTTTAATGTTTTTTTCTTTGAGTGATTCTTCATCTCTTAACATTTAGGTATATCAGTTTCTCATTTCCTGCTTCTTGTCTTTGTTAAGAAGTAATTTCACTTTTTTTTTTCTTAGATTGGGACCAAGTAAACTGCTCAAATGAAAAACACAGTAAAAGAGAAGAGTCCTTGTTTTCCAAAATCCAAACCACCATGTGTAGTGTACTCTCAAGTGAATCTTCTATTTTTCAGTCTTAGAAGGTGAAAGAAAGCTTAACCTAATGCTGTCACTTATAAAAAATTTTTAGGTCTAAGAGCATACAAAATTGAGCGCAGTCTTCCAGTCTGTGGTTTGCTGATCTAGTGGCCCTGCCCAGAGCGGACAAAATTCTGAAAAGGCCAGACAAAATCACATTAAGAGAAATTATAGCCTTAACCTTACCCATGACGCCCAAGGTCTCCCTCTTTGGGATGTTCCTGCATGTGTTATACCACTGATGGATTACTGTAACAAGCCCTATTCCCACTTGATCTTAGCTGCCACAAATCAAAGAGTTAGGACGTGGAAGCCATCCAAGCTGCCCTCTTCAAGGGAATGTTCACAGACGAGGCGAAATCTTGGTTTAGGAAAGCTGACAGGAAAGGAGAACTAATATTTCACTGTGGATTAGGCTGTATTTTGAGCTCCATTTTGTCTACAAACATCTTTCAGAAACCACAAAGGCTAAACAATTTCCATCCTGTAGATAAACAGAGATGCCCCTTCCCCTGAAATGCACATCATATGAGAATTTCCTGAGCCTTAGTTTAGGAAAAAAAAAAAAAAAACATACAGAAAACAGGCTGCCTCACCAGAAAAGAGTTAGGCCAGAAACAAAATGGTGTAGTTGTTGCAAAACTTGTGGCTTTGTGTTGAAGGACTGAAGTCATAAATGGGGAAAAAAAGCAGACACAAGTGAAAAACTGACCAAAAAATAGTATAAAAATATATAAGATCATGCAGAGTCACTGATTGTTTAGTATCGCATGACTAAAAGCAATTACTTGTTTTTTTTTAATCTATTTGAAGTTGTTTTTTCACTGGAGTCGTACCAGAACTGATGTACCTAATAGTGAAGCAGACTCCTGGATTTCTTCAGTTAAATTCGGTATAATTCCTAGAAATTTCCTTACCAATACAACAAGGAGGATTTGCATGAGCACTAGTATCTTCTCTGTTAGTGAATAAAAAACGTACTGTTATCAAAAATATTCGTCTTCTTTCTCATCCCCATAAATGTTTTTCCCCATGCATCTGAAAGCTGACTAGCTCCATAGAGTAAACTAGTAATTGTCCTTTTCTCCCTCTGATTTTAATTAACTTACAAAATGCCAAAATTCTGGCTGGTTTTTAACCCCTGCAGCAAGACGTTTGGATTACGTGCAGATTCTAGAGAATGGAGAAGCAGACAGCTTTTCAAAGCTAGCAATAGGAAATGGTAACAACTCAGGGAAAGGGGGCAAGGGTTGCTGGCAGGAAAGAACTTGGAGTGAGACTAAGGCAGAGGAGAAGAGAGCCCGCAGCTGCCCTCCAAGGGACTTGGCAGGGTTGCGTGGGGAGAGGGGAAGTGGCTGAAACAGAAGTGCCGTTCTGGTGTGCTGTAGGTTCTGCTTGCTACACTGGAAAGCAGAGAAAGGAGAAAAGAAAAAAAAAAAAAAAAGCAGGGAGATCATGCTGCCTCCTGCGCTGCTTCAGTGGGGTTTCTCTTGTCTCACTTGATGGGAAGTATTTGTGTGCAGTTATCATTCAAGTATGCTTTCCCTCCGTTATTTCAAACAAAAATAAATGCCAGAAGTCAAATTATTTTCCATGTAAAAAAGGATTTGGGGGATGCAAAGTTTCTTACGGTTGTATTACACCTTGTGGTGCCAGCTGCAAGGACTGCTGCAGCTGCCCCAGCTTCTGGCAGGGGCTAGCAGGAGCGAAGACAGAGCAGGATAAGGAAGAGACTGCTGGTTGCAGGACAGACTGGGGTGAGGGGGAAGGAGCTTCAGTGGCAAATGAGACTTCGAGGTTTTGTCTGAAAGAGAGCAAATGAAGTTTAGCACATGTGCCTGACAGCATGTCAGGTGTTTCAGTAACACTCCAGGTGAAGTGACTGCAAGTAGTGTTAGAGGTGTTGTAACACCAGCTGAGGGGACCTAGGTCACCACTTGCTGATATTGCTCCTCTTCATCCCAGGTTGTGAGGACTCTCATACAGCATCTGCAAAAAAGACCACATATTAGTGTGTTTATTGTAGGTTGTTTAAGGAACTAAAATGCCGTGGAGATGCATCTATGACTGGGTAGACTCATCTGGTCATACCTCAGTAAGCATCTCTGTCCTTCAGTTTTTATTTAGTGGATTGATTCAGGTGTTCTCAT